GAGGAAGTTATCCAAGGGCTTGAAAAGATGGTAGTCGGTTGGAGAGAATGGTGGTTGTGGCAGAACTTTGACGCAGAAAGTTATTGTGAATCACACCAGCCGTGCCTGGGTGGTTCATCGGTATCCAACCACTATATCTTGTTGTCGTAGAGGATCCACTTTCCATCACACGTGATAATCCGATTTGAAAATAGGTCGTTTTGGTTATGCAAAAGCAAAGAAGAACAGACCTCAAAAAGTTAAAATTTGGACAGAAATGAAAAGCATCAATGTACAGAGTACAACATTCTCTATGGATCCTAGGCGATAAATCGTTTAAGGAGATTATTTATGAAAAAGATTAATCTAATTCAATTGAACCTGGGAATAGAACATAGATAGTCGTTTGATTTCATTAATTGCATGCTAAACACCTAATACACCTATGAGATTTTAAAAAATGACGAATAATTTTGATGACATCGTGAAAAAGGTATTGCTTTGAAGGATTATATGTATTTATTCCCCATTGGAGAAATATTATGAATATTTCAACATTATTTGTGTGATTTTCCTGCCTGCAGATAAACACCACATTTTGTTCGAGATTGGTCGGTATGTGATTCACATCAAGATTGTAAATCCACTAGAACTTTCTCCAATAGTAATTGAATAACAGATGAAGAAAAAATATGACCATATAAAGTATACCTATAGACATACTATTAGATAAACTAGTTCCAACAAATGAATGGTATTGTTTATGATATGACAGACCAGGAATGGTATACGTGTTTTTATCCAACGTTTATTTATCATCAGAAGTATGGGAGTATACAGGATGTCACGGTTCCGAATGATTATAGGGAAAACTGGAGGTATACGGAAGAAAAAATAATACTTTGAACTGAAGCTCTGCGGGATAATACAAGAGAGAATTAGATTAAATATTTAATCGAGATATTGGAGTTTTTTCGATATTACCATTAGTTTCAGTTATTTTATGATAATAATAATGACTCGAAAAGAAGCCATTCTGACAGTTTTTATGTGTCACAGCCTATTTTTGAAAACTTCACCAGCTACCTGATATGTGTTGATATGACAAACTCCCAATACTCCAGAGGTTAATCAGTAACAAATCAAATTGTTATTTGAGAAAAATGAGATGATATCGACCTGAAACTGTAAATGAATGTATGTCGTAATTCAAAGATCACATGGAGTTCCTTTTTTCTGTGAATTTCTCGAATAACGTCAATTGCCTCACTTTCTATATCTTACCTTTTTGAGATCCTCATGGATATCATCGAATGTGAATAGACCTACCTGTACATAAAAAACCGATCAATACAGTTTATTGTGATATATCAGATCATTTTGAGTGCTAGTCAAAAAACATTGAACAACAGCTCAAATGATCTACCATCATATGAACAAGGTTCACTTAGTATAGAAGAAGTAACATCATTTTGGTGAACAAACGAACAATATTTCCAAAATTCAATGTTAACATTTTTTCTAACTAGCGGTAACTATTCAAATCATTATTATCTAACATTTTTGAATACTCGTTGAAACGGACGACTTCAACAATATTGTTGTAACTCATCCCCTGAAAAAATGATGCCGGCCGCCACTGGTCGTCACAAATCAATTCAAGACGTGGCCAAGATCGAGCTCAACTCAACGTGCGTTTCGCGCTTGTTCAAGCTAGATGCAAAGTTGCTTCGATAGACTTCTAGCAAATTCCTTATTGACTTCGAGAGGATTCGATTATCATGAATAACTATCCACACCCCGATCGAGAAAGTCAAGCTTTGCAAACAGTGCGGTACGAACCGATTTAATAAGGCGACATTTGAATATTAGTTGAAGTTTCAGTTGAAGTATTTGGTTGCATTATTAGTGAAATAAGGTTAAGTTTGATTATTGTACAGAGTAGTCAATTATTGTCAATCCCACGGAAAAAACGTAGCAATATAATGAACANCCCCTGTATATTAATCTGCCGCGCTTTAGTAAATACCGAAATCCCCGCTTGGGCTTTCCTATTGTGGTAAAACAGAAAATGAATAGCAATGAAAACACAGTCAAGTTATTTCAATGACTTCCTTTCCATAAAACCAATTCACACGTTTTTCTAACAATGGGCTGTTTGAACAGCATTATGTACATGTTCAATCAATTACCACAATGGTCAATTTAAGTAAAGAAGGCGGTAATGTGCTGTAACCAAATTTATTTGATTGGCTGCAGTGGGCTGATTCGACCTATCACACTATTTGTAATTCAATTGAATTTGATGAGAATTGATGGAAAATGAGACTTTGACGTAACTCCAGAGCGACTTATTATTGACAAATATACCGGGTGAAAACGGAAGTGACTGAACACACACAAAAAATCAAATCAATAATATTTGTTAGTTCTATAGAAAAATAGTTGATCAGTTTCGAAGTAGAATCGAAGTTCAAAAAATGACTGTGACGTTAATATCATTGAAACTTATCTCCTCCCTTTTTTTATTTTTTTATTCCTTATTAAATGTTTCACTTGTTGAAGGGTATTATGGAAAGAAGAAAAGAAAAAACATATCTTTCCATATACAATAACAAGGAAAACGTGAGCTCCAAATGAATTATAAATATATACAAAACAATTTGCAAACTGAACAAGAAACAAAGAATGATTGCTTTTCTGGTAGAGGGATGTTCGATGTGGTCTAGGTACTATCAAATTTCCATAGCGAGTTGGATAATCTGATAGTACCTGTTTTTATAAACAAAAATACATAATCCATAAATAAATATCCCAATAACCGTAAGAAGTTTCAGGTTTTTGAAAGAGCTCCTACTTGCTCCCATCTCCATCCAAGTTTAGCAATTATTCGAACTGCCGACATTTGTAGTATGGAAAGCATTTGAAGCTATGTTCCAAAATGTATGTGAGTTTGGTAAAGCAGAAATAAGTACATGAATGAATACAACAATCAGTATTACTTAATCAGATATTTCTTCATGAAAAATCCAAATATGAGTCTTTGTTTCGTGATATGAAATGCTTCTTAATTTCAGAACCAACTTTCAAATCGATTTCAAAAACAAGTTGGCAATGTCACACCCATAGTCAAAACAACAAGAATACAGGAAAAAAGAAGAAAATCGAATTAAGAAAGAAGTTTCACGGTGTTGCCAAGTTCATATCAAATATTAGTGACGTCACGACGATCGTTTTTACCCGAATTTGAAAAAATTACTGACGAAAAAATTGTAAAAATTATGTAACGAGGTCATATAATACTTATGTAGTTTTCACCTATGCAGTGATAGATGAGTTTATAGATATATGAAGTAATTACTTTTCTTAATTTCACCTGAATGGTTAATGCTTCCTAAAAATTTTTTGTGGGTAACGTTTCGAAGACTAATTGAAAATCAAAAACTCAGACAACTGAAACTACCGTCACCACTATACTCTAGGAGTACATCGAAATTCATAAACAATTATTCAATCTACAATAAAGTTAGTTTTTCATCGTCGCAAAACTCTAATTCCCTTTACAAAAACGTCTTTTGTTTCGTAGAATTATTAGTAATGTGAACAAGACCTTTTCTCAGAGTTTTTCATTTTCTCCTAGTCTCCTTTCAACTCAACACCAGCGATGCTCCCATCTCGGGAACCCGTCCAAATAGTACTCAGCGTTTTTCTCTGCAAAATAGTTGTTCACGAAGATGACTGCCTCTTCATTTGACGAAAATCTCTGTCCTCCGAGCGTAATTTTCAGATGAGGAAACGAAGAGAAGTCGCCTGGGGCTAGATCTGGTGAATAGAGTGGATTGTCGAGCAATTCAAACCGTATTTCGTGGATTTTCGCTATGGCAACCGCTGAGGTGTGAGACGCTGCGTTGTCTTGATGAAACAGGATTTTTTTTTCAGCAAATGTGGACTTTTTTCTGCAAGTTCTGCCTTCAACTTCCCAAGTAATAATGCTCTTTTGATGGTTTTTTTGAAGAAAATCGAATAAAATAACTCCATTACTATTCAAAAAACAGTCGTCATCACTTTCTCAGCCGAAAATACAGTTCTTATTTTTTGGAGCCTATTTGCCTCTTTGTAGTTCACTGTTTGGACTGTATTACTGTTTCGGGCATATAATGGTGTATCCAAGTTTCATCTATAGTAAATATTCGCCGCCAAAACTCGGATTTATTGCACTAAAACTACACAGCGTTCGAAATGTTCATTCGAACACGTTTTCGGTCTAATTTGAGCAAACGCGGCATCCAACATGCGGATAGCTTTCTCATACCTAAATGTTTTATTTGATATGTGACAAAAACGTTCTTTTGACATGTTCACAAACTCTGCTATCTCTCTCATTTTAATTTGGCGGTCGTCTAGCACCATTTGGTGAACTTTGGAGATGTTTTCGTCTTTAATTGCAGTTTTTGGGCGTCCCGACCGTTCATCGTCTCCCAAGCTCTTACGGCCACGTCTAAATTCAGCTGCCCAAAATTTCACTATGGTAAATAATGATACAGAGTATCCATATACAGAATCCAATTCATCTTCGATTTGCGTAGGCGTATTGCCTCTTAAACATCACCGAATGCGAGTTAATGTGAACAAAAATTTGAAAATATTTGGAAAAAAATTATTTGAATATCTGCTATTAGTTTCGAAAAGTATGAGTATTGAATTTCATTGACGTTATTTCTCGAGAAATTTTGATAAACAATTTTGACATTATTGTTTGTTCTCTCCTCCCAGCTACCATTTACGATTTCCATCCCCAATGTAGGAATTCTGCAAAAAAAACCGGAATCTTTCCAAATGAGTTCAAACAAACTATCTCTAAGATTGAAAGTACACGAATATTATTTTTAGTTGATTTTATGTGAATCTTGTTTACTACTGACCAGCAGCCTTTTTTTAGGTCAAATTTCGTAAGATTTTGAAAGGCAATTATTCCATGGCTTAGCGTGAAATTTCAATTTATCAGTTAATGAAAAACTATCTGTATGTACTATTTTTATTACATTTCGTCTCGATTACAACTAAATTCATCCTTTTGAACATTATCCTCAAAATATCACATCTATAATACAGGGTTTGACCTGGAAGATTTCAACTGGCTCCTGAATATTGTCAGTCGCAAAAATGTATTATTCTAATTGTAACTTTTTGTGACAGTTCTTGAAAGCACGCTAAAAAGTAATTTTAAATGAATAGGCAACATCCAAAAAACACAAAAATTTTGTGTTTATCATATGAACTGAATAAATTGATTAGAGTGATTGACAATCATAGACATGAAGTCCATGACACCGACAAACGTTTTGGTGTAAATTTCGAACTTGAAACAAAAATGTAAATTTTTATCAATTTTGAATTATCCAAAAATATTGTTTTTTTGTGAACAGTAAACACTTCTGAACATTATAAAACAGTTTGTCAAAATCAGTCATTTTGCCTATTCACTAAAACTCCTCAAAAACTATTCTCCTTGCGATTATACAAAACAGAGCCAGTTGGAATTCATTATTTGAACGTAACTATACAAAGCATATGACTTTCTTAATTTCTAACTATGATACATTTTTGACGAGTTCAAAATGTGAATCTGCTATACATATACAAAGGAAAAATCAATAAAATAGAAAGAACACGAATTGGGGTTGTTGCCTTGGATCCACTGTAGAAACCACCATACACCTGTAGTCCCGCTGTTTCTATACTTTGTTTGCAGTAGTCACCATCATATAACCAACCAACATATTCACCTGTATGAAAAAAAAAATGTTATTCAAATGGTTTCAGATTGGAATCATTATTACATTATCTTGGACAACGTGAAGTTGAAAATAACTGATGAGTACACAAGAAGAACTCAACTTTTTTATGGTATATAGACGTGGAGAAAATTTTTAAAACCCAATTTCATGTTTTTTGAGGTGTTTTCTCTGAATATAATTTCATTTTGCCTTTTGGAGAGTTTGCAAAAAATAGCAAAATTTCGGCACCCAATGTCAGTCATAGTAAAGTTTTATTTAGAAATGGTTGCTTGTGGGACTTAGTATTCAGAATTAATATTTTTTGGTCCACTGGCAATTGGTCTTTTTCTAGCGCTAGTCCTTGTGACTAGCAACTAGTCATAGTAATATTACTATACGAGTACTATATTGCCTATATAAGAATTCTCAAACCTTTTCGGACAGTTAATGTTAATTTGAGGAAATTCCTTTTCACAACACAACAAAAAAATATTTTTTGAATGTTTCCTACACTAAATTAGTCAATTTCTACTAATTTTGGGGTGATAAAAACGAAAACGAAAATAACAATGAAAAATTTTTATTAGCTCTGGTTTTTGAGATACACAGAACTTAATCTTAAAGAGTAGTTATACTATACGTGAAAAGTGAAAGTACATAAAACAATATTGTTATGTTAGAATTAGAATATTT